CCCGCAGAGCGGGGTCGGCGGATCTCTATATAACCCCATATCCCTTTTTGAGAGGTTGCTTTGGTGGTGATGAGCTCGCTGATGCTGGTTGCACTGGAGTGCCGTCCATCCAAGGACAGCACCCTCCCCAAAACTAACATGGAACCTCAGAGGGGGACTGCAAAGACCACCACCTTTAGAGAGGGGATCTATGGGTTCCATACAAGTTGGGGGCAGTGTACGCACCCGGCGCTTTGCTGATGCAGGTTCGAGATCGAATATATCTACCTTTACCATGAGTACCAGAAAGGCAAGCTAGCAAAGGAAGAAACGCTGATGTACGGTGGATACTAAAAATCCTGCATGACCCTAAATACCCTAAACATTGGGAAAAATGGTACTACAGTATACTAAGGTCATGCAGGATTTTTAGTATCAACAGTAGCATTTCCATGGAAGAGGACATCCTGCTGGTGTCTAAGCGCGATTAAGCAAGTCTGTGACCAAAATTCCCAAGGCATCCGTCATGATACCCACTTGCAGCGCGAATTAAGTGACTTGTTGGATTTCTAGGAGTCATGAACTTCACATCCCGCAGTCTAGGATGAACGAGGATCAAGCCGTGTTAGCCCCAAACCTAAACTCCTAAACTCTCAACCCCAATCCCTGTACCGCCCATTTACCACAGTATAGGGGTATTTCCGAACGAGGGGGGTGCCTTTATGTAGCCTCTAAATACTGGAGTCCTTATCACGGGACCCCAACAAGAGACCCGTAATTTTTGAGGACCTCATAGTTAGGGGTTCCCTAAACCCTAAACCCTATAAGAATTACCATAGTTATGGGTTCCCTAAACCCTAAACCCTATCCCATAAACCACCATTAATAAAAATCCCTGCAGAGACTTTACGAAGCGAGGAGCTGCAGCGGTCAGAGCTTGTGGACCAACGCTTGGAGGTGCCAAAACATTTGAAGGATTCACCTACTGGGTTTTAGTAGGGAATACGGGAATACATTTCATGGGGATTAGATAGGGACTATATTCCCATATTTCTTAAGAAGAGCCAGTAAGTTTGGTGGTCTTCCTTTTTAGAGGCAGGGCTTGGTGGAGTTTGGGGATTTTGGGGGAGGTAGGGTTGGGTGGATGTACGGGATTCCCTTGAATTTGGGGGTTTCTGGAATTTGCAGCCACTTTGAGGTCTTATAGCTAGGAAGGATGCCCACCTCAAGAGGGTATGTAAGGGGACCTTCATAGCTCCCACCTCAAGAGAACCATGAAGGGGTCTCTACGAACAGCCAGGTAACTTGTGCTCGCAAAACACTACACTCACTACAGAGGTTGCTGGCAAATTTGTGGTCGCATTTGTAGCCATCCTACAGTTTTGGTGCGATATCGTTACATGATGTATAACAATATGCTTGTCTTTTAAGCCTTTTCAGATGCATCGCTGGCTTCGTGGAAGCTAGGGCTAGGTCATTTCTGAAGGCAGCTAGATTAAGCGAAAGGTTCCAAACATGGTTCCAATCAATTTTTTGAACGATTGAAATTTGACAAAAGTGGGATGCCCTTTACAGGGATTTCTGCGAAGTCAGCCGGATATCGACAGCCGTACATTCCCCCACCAAAGACACCTTGCCTGACTGCATCATAAACTTCACAGTGTAAGCCCCGACCCCGACCTGCCATGCCCCCGAAACTCTCCAAACTACTGCAGATGTAGGAAGTCTTGCATCACCTTATATACCGCAGACCTTAGGGATTGCAGTCGAAACAAATGAACCTGCAGAGGCGCTGGAAGCCGGCTTCAACGCGATGCTGGACGCTAGGCTCAGTTTCGTGCGGGTATCTGGGAGCTTCTCAAACGGTTCACAGAGAATCCTTCGTATGCACCCCCAGAGCCCATCTGCGACCGCCACAGACAGACCACATATCCCTGGGGTCCCTGCGCCCCTCTAAGACTCTAAGAAGTTCCACTTCTGTCACATGGAGTCTCTGTATTTGCGCTTTTGAACGCTCGGAGCTCGTTTCTAAGAACGGGCTTGCCGGTTTTTACGCGTTTGCGGGCTAGACATCCTATCGTGCTTTCTTGATCTTTTCTTTTCTTGCTCTTGTTTTCGCTCATTCCATTGTCGCAGTGGAGAGTTTTAGCGTTCTTGTTGTGTTGATTCATGTTCATATGCAAAACGCTTGTTACATTCACAGATGACACGCATGGAGCCAGAAACTTCCTCTTCAAGACTTAGCACACGAACCCTCAACTCTGGAGCCCCAAGCATGCCCCCCAAAATCCTTACCCAAACCCGCCCCTAAACCCTAAACCCACAAAGCTTAGCTCCGACACCCTACACCCCAACCACGCCTACTTTCTATGGAGGGTCCAGTGAGCCAAGGACACTCTACGGCCACTTCTGGGTCAGAGCGGTAGGCCTGGGCTTGCAGCAATCAAGGTTTTGGATTAGATGGTAGTTTCCCTAAATAGGGGGACCCCAATATAAATCCCCAGTATACTATAATCCTCATTATAAGGACCCCAAAATGGTACCCCTAATTTTGGGAAACTACCATATCTTTTAAAATAAGGGCTTTTGGGTTTGGGGTGAGGTTTGGGTTTTGGGCTTCCGGGCTTCGTGCTGTGAGCTTTGTGCTTTGGATTACGCCTTGGGCTATGTGCTTCCAAGTGACCTTCTAAGAAGCGTTTTGGATCAACGGAGTTCCATGGGTCAGCAACGCCTTGCCCTGCCTGATTGGGCTATCTGAAGAGACACGGCTGGAAACATGGAGCTTTTCTTCGAGCTTCAATAATTGGTGCAGAAATGTGGTGGATAGCTCAACGCCTGACCCTTCTCACAAACTTGCTGCTGGTTGGACAGGCTGTGATTCAAGTATGACATGCAGCAACCCTGCCCGCTTCAGACCCTAGTCATAGGGGCCCACAAGATGGGCCTACTTTGCCTTAGAGGGTCTGTACAGGACGCTAAGGGCATACGTAGCGGTACCGAGGGACCAGAGAGAGTGAACTGATCCAGGCGAGTGCAAGATAGCAACCGGCAACGCCTGTAGATTCTAATCTTGTTCCCTGCTTATCTTACTAGTTGTTAGGAATAGGGAGTAAAACCCTGTATAATATGATCCCTATGTCATACATTCCCATATTCCCTGCTCAGAACGGGTATTTGTTTACTCAACCCCTTGCCGCGGCTTGAAGGCCGCAGGGTCACGATGTCTTGCATCAGCTGCGTGCTTTTTTCAGATTTGCCGTGTGGATGGGATAGCACCCCAAGACTTGGGGTTATCTTGATCCTTTCCTCTGAGACTATTACCACCCCCTCCAACCCCTAATTAAAAGTCTTTCCAAGAATGGTGCCATGCCAATGTTAGAGGCATATTGGTTATCAAGCAGTGGTGAAGCCATGTACGCGAGGCCCTCTCATGATTCATCTCGTGCGTGTTCGAACGAACACCTGGCTTCAAAGCAGTTCATGAGTGTGGACGATAACATGCACTGAAACTGGCCGCCATCCTTCCAATTCAACTTGTACACGTAGAGCAAGAATTAATTCATCAACCTAAGAGAGTGGGGAAGATTGTCCCTACATAATTCCTGTCTACTGGCAATCTTCTTTCACCACGAAGGTTGAAAGGCTCGCAGCCCTCAACCCTGAATAACTAAGCCCTGAATAGTAGCTTCCATTTCATTTCCATCTGATTTTCCATTTGATTCTCCACTGTTGGGACAATAGCCCTAAACCCAATGTTATTCAAGCCTCTTCGCACAGGTCAGCGAAAATGGGAATGTCCTACGGTGCATACTTAAAAAATCAAAAACATCGCAGGGCCCTAAGTACCCTAGAACTTGGGAATTATGGTACTATGTGGCATGGACCTTTAGGT